AATTACTATTTTGTTGAGTGTTTTTATCAGGAATGCATACTGGATTTTGTCAAATGCCTTTTCTGAATCAAATGATATGATCATGTGGTTCTTTTCTTTTTTTTCATTTACATGGTGGATAACGTTGATCATTTTCCTAACGTTGAACCATCCTTGCGCCCCTGATATGAATTCCACTTGATCAAGATGTATTATCTTTTTGATGTGTTACTGGATTATGTTGGGTAGGTTTTTGTTGAGAATTTTTGCATCTATGTTCATGAGGGATATTGGTCTATAATTTTTTTTTAATGACAAACAGATTTAATGTAGCGTGTCAACTTCAATTGATTGATAGTGGCTGCCTAGAGTGCTGTGCTGAGTAGGTTTTTGAGGACACACCCTGGCTCTTAGAGTAAAACTGCTGGGATTAGCAATATCTGGCATCTCACTTGTAAGAGAAACCACAGGCACCAGAGTTGCTGTTGGTACTAGTACCAGCTCCACTAAGGCCAGCAAAGAGGCCAAATGTAAGAGTGGCAGTCAGGCTTGAACTGGCATTGAAGCCACTTCTGGTACTTTCACTGGCACCAGCATTGGTACTACCTCACTCTTGGGTTTTTGTTTTAACTTCAGCTCCTGTCTGGATCCGGGCTTTGGCCCAGGGTCCAATATCAGCTTCATCCCAGTTATAGGGCCCTGCAGCATTCTCAGAGCCAAGTCCAATACCCATTCGGGCTCTAGTCTCAGCCCTCGCCTTGGCTTCATTGGCAGCCTCAGCTGCAGCCTTCAAATCTGCTTCCATAGCCTCACATTACTGAGCTGCCCATTCCTTGGGATCCTTTTTTTGTACCTTGCATGCAAACTTGAGGATTTTCATCTTGCTGGTCTCATAGTAGGAATGCAGGCCCCAGAAGAACTCATATTCAGGGGGATTGCTATTGGGGACTCTGGCATAATCCAGATACTTCTGCTTCACAAATTCATCAGTAATGAGCTTCTTTACATCCCCAAAGAGCGAGTGATGCACCCTTGGATGCAGCCCTAACTTGCGTAGCACCTCCCAGATGACAGCTTCACTGGGCCGATTTCCATTCATGAAGATGATGCTAAGAAGCACCATAAGGAGACCCAGTTTGGGTGAATCCTTGGTTGTTCCCAGTATGCCTGCATCAGTGGGTTCTAGGGTGCTGAGAAGAATGTACAAGTGGTCATTCTTATCAATTTCTGTTGCAGACCGTGTAAGACTAGTCAGAGGTTCGAGGCCCTCTAGGGCTGAGTGTAACAAATGAGGCCACTGGCAGTTAATGGAAAATTGCTTTCA